CATTGAATTCGCCTTTCCTACCCTAGATGAGAAGGTGAAGCTGAGATTTCTCCCTACGGTCGGCTAACTAGGCTAACTAGCGAGTGGCCACATGACTGTCGAAGCCCTTCTCCTCTGGACAGTGGAGGTCTCCACATCAACACAAAGCTATGAGTTTTCATCTCAGTGACTCATGAGTCAGGCTGGCTCAAAGAGAAGGAGTCATGGCTTCAGGTCATCTGGAGCAGGGTCTCGGAGCAATGTACCCTGGGCGAGGGGTCTGGGACCCAGATAATTCTGTAGAGGGACCTCCAGAATTAGGGGGAAAACCGAATATAGGAGCTAGAAAAATGATCAAGTCAATAAAGTGGCCACCATGCAAACATGAGGGTCTGACTGAGTTCAATCTCCAGAACCGGCATAAAAGCCCAGCATAGGAGCACACACATGTAACCCCAGCAGTAGGAGGTAAAGACGGTTGGATTCCTGGAGTTCACTGGCAAGTCAGTCAGGCCTAACAATAAACTCCAGGAAGAGCCTACCCCCCAAAACCAAACAAATATGGGGCTGGAGCAATAAATCATCAGTACAGAATACTTTCAGTTCTTCTAAAGGATCTGGGTTCATTTTCCAGAACCCATATAGGGCTCAGAATCATGTGTAACTCCAGTTCCAAAGGTTCCAATTTCCTCTTTGGGCAACAGGCATACTCTTGGGTAGCAAAACAACTGAGACATTGCTGGTATTGTTGAGTGAGGTGTCTCTATGTGGGGAGATCATCCATTCCAAAAGGGAGGAGAGAGCATAGTGAGGAAATACCAGGCCAAAGCAAGACCGAAAATCAGAGGGGCAAATTCCAAACTCTAAATCTCTCTGTCCAACGTCAAAGTGCTCCTCAGAACTCCAACTCCTTCCAGCTTTGTTGTCTGCAACACACTTCTCTCTCTTGAGCTGGTTCCACACCCAGCCTGCAGTTTTCCTCAGCAGGTATAACTCTGGCATCTCCAACATCTCGGGGTTTTCAAGGTAATCCAGGCTTCTCATTCACAACTTCAAGCAATGACCTATCCTGGCCTGCTCCACAGGGACACCCCTGATACACACCTGGCCTCAGCTGCTTTCCTTAGCCATGGAGGAGGATTCCACAACCTTTTTCTTCCGTCCTTGACTCTAACCAGAACCAGTGGAAGTGCCAAATTTTACAGTCGGATGGGGCTGGCTCTTGGTCCCCGTGTTCCGTTACCTTTGCATTCACTCTCTGTGGTTGCTTCCTTCTATGCTTAAGTTTTTCTTTACTTCCTTTCCACAAGTTGGAGCCTTAGCTGAATGGGGACTTGCCCTGAGGTTTTCACTCCCTTCACTCCATTTAGCATCAGACTTTTCTTTAAACTGTTTATCTCCTTGAAAAGGTCACTTGGGTCAGTTACACTCCTTATGTTTCTTTTCTCCTCAAACTGTACGTCTTGTATTTTTCTTCATCCGGCTTGCCTCTTCTCATGGTAGGTCTGCATAAGAGCCACTACTAATAACCACAGGACAGAGTCAACACTGGCTGTCTTGAAGCCTCCTCTGCAAACACCATTAATCCAAAAACTCTTCAATTTAGCTTCAGGCAGACTTTTAGGAAAGGAGCAAAAAGCAGCCCCATTCTTTGCCAAAATATCACAAGAATGGTCTTTTGGCCACTTGCTAGTAATGTTCTCCCCCTCTGAAACCTCTTGAGCTGGGCCCCTGGAGTTCACACTGCCCTTAGCATTATCTTCCATGTCCCTGCTAGGATGGACCATTAAGCCGTGCTTAAAGTGTTCAATTACTTTTCTAGTGCAAAGTCCTCCATATTCCTCTAACAATCAGCATGGTGAAGCCTGTCACAGCAATACTTTGCTCCCTTGTCACCACCTCTGACTTAGTCGTTCTTTGCTACAGAGAGACACCGCGACCATGGCAACTCTTATAAGAGAAGTCATTTAACTGGGGCCTTGCTTGCAGTTTCAAATGCTTACTGAGGCCTCATGGCGGGGAACATGGCAGGAATGTTGCTGGGGAAGCAGTTGATAGCTACATCCTGATCTGCAGGCAGAGATCAAGAAGGGTCTGGCATGGGCTTTTGAAACCTCAAAGCTCACCCTTAGGCATACACTTCCTCCAACAAGGCCACACCTCTTAATCCTTCTAATTTTATGACACAGTTCCACTCCTGGGCTACTATGCATTTGAATGAGAGCCTATGGGGCCCCTTCTCATTCAATTCACCACAGCAGGGGTGGCGAACAGAACTCTGACTGTTCTAAGGATAGGTAGGATTTACTAGGAGACTCGGGAACTTAGGCAGAGTTCTCACTAGCAAAGAGGACACTGGACTGGGAATTCAGGGGTTTAGGAGTTGGTCCTGGGAGAGGGGTGAAGGGTTTTCCAGAGAGAACAGAGAGATACGCCAATGCCCCAAGTCAGGAAATGTGCAGGGCCAGTGCTGGCTTAAGGAATAGCTGTAAATCACATGGTGGGAGTCGGAGTGTATAAGTGAGCGAGGACCTACCTCCAAGTAGGATGGGAAGGCATACACCTAAGTTTTTACACAGTCTCTAAATCCACTCCTAGGACAAGAAGCTGGTGTGATTTATGAAATGCCTCCAGGATGCCCAGTCCTCTCTGTGAGCACTTTACACTCTCAGGACCACTGTCCTCTCAACGATCCTGAGACGGAGGTCACTGTGACTTTTCCCTTTACAAAGCAACTAACTGATGTCCAGGGAGGTTTAGTGACTCATCAGGGAAGCTCAGCAGGTGGCAAGCCACACACAAAACCTGAACACAAGTCAATCTGGCGGCTGACAAATCTGCGCCTGACCTTGAACTCGAGCATAACTCAGTCGGGACTCTAGTGTGACTGGGATGTGTGTGTCTGGAGTCCTGTCCTTATTTAGAGAGGCCACAATTCTCATCTCCTTCCAGAAAGAGTCTAAAGGTGCCTGATTCATTATATATCCCTGAAAGGGTAGGGATCTCTGATGGGATTCCTCCTTGCCTGAGCCCCCGACACACTGCTCGATGCCCAGAGTTCATGAGGAAACTTCCACCTGGCCCTACATGAAGCACCGGGACACAAGAGGTGCTCAATACATTTCAGCTGCCAATCGCCATTTACAGGTCGAAGGTAGCCCCTCCTCACCATATTCATCCAATTCTCATAGCCTGAAGGATTGAAGGGAGGGTCTTGTTCCTGCCTGTTGTACAGATAAAACAAGGCACATGAGATTTCCCCCTACAGGCCACAGGGTTCCTTGCTAGATAGTACACAGGATGGACATGAGCAGGGGGCCTTCATCCAGCCCCAGCGTTGGAACCTGATGGTTCAGGGAATCGCAGCAACAGCAGCAGCAAGAGCTGCTGAACCCTGAAGGTCCTTCCTCCTCCTGCAGACCCTGCCCAGGGGATTTTATTAAGGAAGAGGAAGTAGGATGCGGATGAGAACTGTCTGTCAACTACTTTGAACTGTCTGTCCCTCTGTGAGGTGGGCATCATGCATTTTGTGTTTGTTCCACATAAGCTCTGAGGCCCATTGACTCATCCCCAGTAGGCAGGTGAAAAAGCTGAGGCTTTCCCCAAGAAAGCCCGACCAACAGTGGCCCTGCGCACGACTCCCTGCCAAGAAGCTCCGAAGCCCTGCCAGCCATACAGGCTGCCTTCTGCCACTAGGCAGGCTGTGAGCAGAAGATCATCTTCACGAAGTGCGACCCTCCTCCGCAACACCCACCGGGCGACAAAGGACTGAGTTCTGCGCCAGGGGCCTCCGAAAGCCGAGTTAGAGCAATGCCGCCACCCAGCCCGGGCCTGACAGCCCTGCCCCCTCTCCCCGCACACCGCGCGGCTACGCGTGACTCAGCGGTTCTCCCCGGAGCGCGGAGCACCGCCCTCAGCATCCACACGCCTGGGTCGCACACCTAGCCTCTGCCTCCCGGGTCCGCGCACCCGCAGGGAGTCGCCGCGCCCGCCTCATTTCCGGCAGAGCTAGGCACGGGGGAGAGCGGGCCCACGCAGGTTCCTTGGATCAGGAACCCACGTACACCGGTCCCCGGGTCTCAGTGCAACGGGCCCTCCCACCCGGGGCAGCCACCTGCTTAAGCCCTAGACACCTCCCGGTGAGGCCCGCAGCCCCGGAGCAGGAGGTGCCTACACTGCCCGGGAAGGTCTCCAGCACCAGGGTCCCCGTGGGGTGGCCAGGTTTAGTTCTCCCACTGCAGACGATTCACTCCTCCAGCCCCTAGCTGCGAGCTCAAGCTGTCCCCACCGTTTCTGCCGCAAGGCAGGGCCTGGGGACCCCGGAAGTTACTGTCACATTAGCAAAGGGCACTTATTCTCTGCATCCCACCAGCCTTTGGTGGGGACTGACGCACAGGGCCAACTTAGGGGGTTTTAAACGCAGAGCCTGTTTGGGGTAGCATGCCCCACTTTTTCCGGAAAACCATGAAGGTCTGGCCCAGCTCCAGTCTCAGTAGCACTACCCAGGAATACAACAGTAGCTGGAACGAGCCTCCTTCCCCCTCCCACGCAGGGGATCCGCCTCTGGAGGCCAGGGAGGTGCCAGGGCAGCTGAACCCTGGAGGATCTGGCAATGTAATTTTTCCCCCTGGGTCCCTCTCCAGGGAATGGACAGTCTAGAAATTTCTGCGGGCTCTGGTCAGGCTGAAAGGGCAAATGAAGGATTTTTAAGCCTTTCCACGTCCCAGAGATTTCCACACCAGATTTATTGCAAGCTTGGGCTTTGTAAATGATAGTCAGGGCCCGATCCAGTGCCACCCGGCGGGGGAAGGACAGCTGTGTTCCCGAGGGCGACACGGAGGAGGGCGCTGGGCAGCGGTTGGAGCCCCCGGGTCCCTCCCTCCCGGCCCAGGGTCGGGGTGGGGTGGGGGTGGGGGGACACGACACACAGCGCGCGGTCCAAACCTTCGGAGGGCATTCGGTGCGACGGCATCCCCACGCCGCGGCCGGCCGGAGGGGGTCTCAGACAACACGTACGTTACCTTCTGTCACATAGCTGTGGTCCCGCAGGAAGCTGTGGTTAATTTTCCGCGTGTCCGTGTCCTCGCCCATTGAAGGCCGCGCCCGGTGCCCTGGGCATGCCCCGCCGCCGCACACCGATGCAATCCGCAGAGGTCGCGCCGGGCGCACGGGC